GTGACTTTTGTGGATTTAAATGACTGGTTGTCTTTAAAATGCATTTTCAGCATAAAATTTGTTTTTGTGACATGTAATATGATCATTGGCAAATTTGAAAACACGGTTAGAAATCACATGCTGATGACTATTGATGTCAAGGCCGCCATTGTTTGTAAACAATGCTTTTAAACAGCATGCTCGGTGAAAACAAGTAATTTTACAGGGGGGTACAAACTTTCAGCAATAGCAAAAAATCTACAAGGCCAAGCACCTATTTCTTTGTGATATTTTGCATGTACAGGGAGTTGCTAAAGCAGTGACAGAGTTTCCGTAAACCGTATATTTGCAGGTATTTTTTGCCGGAGGGACCAAAAATGTTGTTTTGGGTCTCGGACCACTATAGATTTTTGGCTTTTACGGAATGAATTGGAATTTTTTTAACTGCCTGACTGTTGCACATGGGATGATTTCATTACAGACTTGCAATGTTATGACATATATGTTCTAAACAAAATGTGTTTCTTTTTCCAGGTTGTGTAGTTTGGGATCAGATTTATCAGACATATTGCTTGTAGGACATTGACGGCAGAAACTTGAACTTTAGTGTGGAGTGCCACCTTAATGATCCAAGTCGGTGAATGTGTTTGTGTTTTCGTGAAATCTACAAGTTGTAAATTTATAAAACAATCGGTTAAACACTACTAAATCATGACGTGCGGGCTTAATATCTATATCACTTTTCGGCCGGGGCACTGTTTTAAGGCAGGCCATCGTGTTATTGAACGTGGCAGGTGCTTTTGTATAGGACTAATAACGTATAGTTATTTAATAAACGGCCATATAACCTGTCAGAAATATTTATAACGAATATATTATACAGCAAGCATCATTATATAGAAAAAAGTAAGATTTCTTCACAATTGGTAGCAGTCGTATATATAAATCATTTTTAATACTGCACGTTTGTAACGTCGCTTTTCATTTGATAATCGTGACGTTTATACGAGGGGTGATCAAGAATTACGTAGACTGTCTCAATATCACATTTATTGTTTGACAATATGTTTACATAATTCGGAATAACAAACCATGAAAATGTGTCACTATTGCGGTACTGGTCCACGTCGTCAAAAAACTCTTGACGTCAGCAACGTCGCAGCGTCGTAAGAGTTTAAGGAAAAGCGTCAACTGGCACATGACATTCACTCTTTTTCAAAGTACGAGCCAGAACATGCAATGCAACGTTCATGCCTCTTAGGCCACTGAGAGAAGAATATATTCCTGTAATACTCTGCTGGATACTGACGTATTAGGGTGTTTGTCGCTGACTGTAACTCCTCCAAATTGTCAAAGCGCTGGCCCTTCAGCTGGCGTTTCAAATCTGAGAACACTGAGCAGTCAAACGGAGCAAGGTCCGGGGAATTATTTTTAAGTTTTTGATACATTGTTTATAAATTTGAATTACGCAGCATGTTTGAAACAAATGTGTATCCGTGCATTTTATTGTTTATAACAATACGTGCTAAATCATAAATTAACGTAAACATTAACATAAAAACGTTTCTGTCCGTGTAGTTTACGAGGATTTATATGGAGTAAATAACTTATGTTTTGAAAAGTCACACCAGCTTCATGCATAGGCCTTGTCAAATCCGCGATAGCACGGACGGTAGAGTGATTGTCTGATATATTAGGGGTCTGTAGTTCGATCCCTACTTTTGCCATTGTTTTAAGACCTACTCTTTTTCTTTATTTTTGCAGTATATTTTCATGGAAATGACCGAATGCTTCCAATATTGTCTACACATATATCAATCAACTAAGAAACATGGTCTCGATTTGTCTTGTGTAATAATTGCTTCTTGTGTATAATTGTTATAACTGCTAATTGCTTCATGGGCACAAATTATATTAAATCAAATCTCACTCATGTTCACTGCGTACATCTCACGGAAATTACTGAAAATCTTTCGAAGATTAATATATTGTGTGCATTGACCGTGTAATTAGTATGGAATTGACAGGTTAATAAAACCAAACAATAACACGATAAAATAAGGAAGATCATTAATTTTATTTTTTCAAGCGGAAATATTTCCGGTGCCGATTTTCGTATAACGCACCCTACTGTACTGTTACAGATGTACTGTGAAGATATAGACATTATTAAACAAAAGAAATAATAAAAAAAACGTTATTTTATCAAGTTTTCAACAATAAAAACTTACGTCGTAATGTGTTTACATCAGGGCCGCATTTATCATTCTTTTATGTATGAAATAACGTCAGCTTGTTTACGAATGAGATGTTTACTTAGGATGACGTCATTACGTTGCTTACGGATTAGCGCCGTTTTGTCAAAATATTTATTATCTGATATGGATCAAATAAGTGGTGTTAGTGTATGTGAGATATTATTTCGGTATTGTATGAAAAGAAAACATAATAAGACCTGAAAATATAAATAAAAATGTTTTTTGCTGTTGCTTTAAAAAGCTATATAATCGAAAACATAACAATATATAAATGTATATTTATAGTATTTGTACTGTGTAGTTAGTTATTATTTATAATTGGATATAATTTTATGATAAGAATGATATTTTATCGTGTTTTTATAAATGTTTTACTAGTCTCTTATAATTCAATGATTGAATGGTCATGTACTTTTCTGTGTTTTATGTTTGCTTATGAATTTTATTTGTGTATGTACATGAATGAGACTTAAATAAATTAATAACAAAAATATAAAATAACAGTCGGATATACAAATACATTTTGTAGTCCCTAACCAATGTTTATTGGCAGTTTAACACCGTTTTTTTTCCTTCTTTGTCTATAGTAACAATAACACGTGGAGTGTTAGAATATTAGTTATAAATATTTTTGACACGTTATATGGCCCTATATAAACGGCTGTTTGGAAATATAACCCGAGCCGACAGATTGCATAAATGAAACAAAATATTCTCAGTTTCTAAACATTCACGTCATGATTTAGTAGTGTTTAACCGATTGTGTTATAAAAAGTTCCTTTTTGATGCTGCTGATTCTGCAGATGTTTATGACGGTTTGCTGTAGCAAATTGTATGTAATAGATTGAATGCAAAACTCGATCTGGACAGCCGGTTTAATCATGTGCCCGTTTGTGGCTGAAATAATGCACGGAACGGCACCTTAAGTAAAGCTAGAAAGTCGCAACATGACCTTTAGATACTGTGTTGATGCGGCTTAAAACCAAACTAAACAAAAAGCATTGCCAAGAAGAATGCACATTTCGCAAGCCATGCTTTAAATCATATTAATATTCTTTGCTGCAGGATTAAGGGCTGCATTTTGAATTAGTTGAACATTTTAAACACATAAACGACATATTGACAAATATAGTTGTATTCCATCATTTTGTTTTCGTTTGTAATTAAAGGTTACATCAAATGAAGATAAATTACTTGCCAAGAGATTTATAAAGGATTCGGAATCAATTTGACTATACTTGAATATTATTCTTAATCGCATTTGTCATGGAAACCGGGGAATTCGTTACAAAAATGATATGACCAAAACGATAAGACACACATTTGCGCAACAGGTGGTAAATCAATCACCAATACAGCTCAACGTTTAAGTTTAAAGTAAATATAGCGTGTTTTAGAGAACATTTTCGCTGGTGTTTAAATCATTAAAATCGATAATATATTGTTATATAATTCTTAGATTGTGAGAGCTCATTTTCATTCCACGAACCATATTCTAAAAGAAAACAAATAATGAAAGGGTTAGCACAATTCTGAATAACATTTCACTGCAACATCGAATAAAATAACCGTTACGTTTTCAAAAAAAAAAAAAAAATACATATATTTCAAGAAAATTTAGAATGCACAATCGGTTTTTATCTATTCATTTGTAAAAAGTATCGCATCATTTTGTCAGAAGTCTGTTTTTCTCAGGTGGTTTACCTCAATTTATTTGTTTTTATCAGATACTCTTACATGACTCGTGATTTGTTTTTGTCCCTTCATATATACAAATAAGCAAATAACCAGTGTAAGTAAAGACTGACTCCGAAAAGGCCAACATTATAAATAAATGTTCTGACACCATCCGTTCTGATTATGTTTTTTTTTTATTTAATGATAAAATAACATATTGCAGACTCTAACGCAGTTTTGACTCGTTTTTCTACTTTTTTAGTTAAAAAAACTATTTAGTATTAATAATATTAATAAGCAATTAATAAGTAGTGTAATGTCGTCATCTTTTATAAAGGCACCAGGATGAAGTCTGTTAAATCACGGATTTATATAAATCCGTGGTTAAATTCATATTGATGAGGATGAAGATTAATTTATCTAGCATCGATAGAAATGAAACATTTATAAACAATCCAGTCTAATACGTGAGTTTAAATTGTTGAAATAATTATTGAAAACATAAATGAAGTGAAACTGGTTTCTATTATTATAATTTTCTTTCTTTATTACTTTAGCGACAATAGGGTGTGGAATAGAACAGTCATTACTATAAACAAAATGAACTGCGGAAACAGTCTCCACTTGAAAAAGGCGAAAGTGATCTCCTTTATGTTGTCTTGCAAAAGTCGTAATAACATCGGTTTGTCATTTGATGCAAAAAAAAAAAAATAACCTACGGCCTTTTGGTCAATTTCTGCGCCTCTCTTATAAAATAGAAAGCCCAAAATTAATCTACAGTGTCATGCTGTGACCAGCTATAATCTTACAAACCAATGACTGGGCTTACTTAAATCTTCTTTTTTAAATAAAAAATGTTAATATCAGCCTTATATTGATTGGTTTTATCACATATATATTAATCATCTGAAAATGTCCGAATAAAGTCTTAAATATACAAAACACAAAAAGAAAATAACCTACTGGTGGGAAATTTAAATTTAATCATTGATTAACTGATTATCATTATTGATAAATTAATCGCTGGAATCTAATTTCACTAGGGTTGCCAATAAATCTCAAGTTTTGTCAGGTATTGTGTGATAAGTCAGGCCTAGTACGCTTAATCATTTGAATTTGTCAATCTGTGATCAAAGACGCTCAGTATCTGACAAGTTATCAAGAGGAAAACATCACATTGCCAGTATGAGGACTATATAACTTTGGATTGAAAAAAATACTGAAATAAGGTGTGTTTGTTTCCGTATTAATAATGAGAACGATAAATATACTTGTTTTAATTGTATAATATCTCTCCATCTTTTTTGATAAAATGCATCGTTTTGCATGTTTTGAAGAAAATGTAAATAAAAAGCTTATATGTTTCACTCTGTGCATTTGTTCTTACGGTACGTAATGTGAATACAAAGAGAATCAAAGTAATAAAACTGCAGCGTCTGTGATCAGTTTTGAAATGATTGAGAACATAATATGTATCGGATCATTTTGAATAATATGATATGCATCCGCTTTTAGCTACAAACATAAACATTAAAAGAAAATACTAAAATAATACTAAAATTTTATAAAAATAATGTCACTGTCTTCAGTACACATACTTGCTAGCAAATAGACTGTACATTATCCTCCATAAAGGTATACCTATGTTTATAAATACAAATCGGTTGCCTTATTCAGCATGAAATTTGTGTCAATAAGGATATGTATTGCATTACGCGGCAAATGCATGTATCAGTAAAAAAGGACAGTTAATTATGTATGAAACGGAAAGAAACATTTTAAATAAGCGTATTGTTTTATTGAACAAGTGTGGACCTACAAACACCATGAGCAATTATTTAGTGGAGTCAAAAAATATCCTGACTCAAATGCGTACTGCCAGCTGTTAAAAATTTATGAGAGCGCTTATAAAAAATGTCATCCTACAGACAGACACACAAATACAATTTTATTATTAACCTTAAGCAAAAATTATAAAATAGATATATACCTTCATCGAAAAAACAAACGTTTTTGACTTATTTTAATTAATACAATTGAGATAGGTTTTGAGCAATTGCTTCAAATTTTATAATGGTTTTACAAAAAAATCCATTTTAACAATGAACGCTCTAGATATCAAATGTTTATATCTAATGAGTGACACTTCGGTCAGTTAAATGATAGCAATCTGTCTGAACGGTTACGATAATTCTTTGAGGTCGTAAATACTCCGTACTAGTTTTCATATTATACCGCACTTTATTGAAACGAATAAGTGACCTAGGGGAAGGAATTATATCTAAACATTTCGTATTTGTCCATAATTTCAAATAGTTATTTTTTTGCTTGTTTGTTTTGTTGTTGTTGATGTTTTTCCTATATTTGGTCATATCTCTGCGACCGGGACTTCTAACATATTTTCCTGGGTTGCTATTCATTTAGTACCACTTTTTCCGCAAGCGACCCACAACGAAATCCTAATAAATTATCATTAGAGTCAATGTCCGAGATCAACTGCCGCTGTAAGCTCTAATTTACAGCTATTCGCTCACACAAAACCTTTGGTAAGAAAATAGCGAGCCTACCTATTAAATGTTTTATATTGATTGATTGATTCACGGCAATAATTAAATTAACAGGTCATGAAAACAATGATGTTTCTGCTTGTTCATGCCATCTTGTTTGGTATGCTGTATCAACATGCTGAGGGTACAGGGCATTTCTATGGCGGGAGCATGAGTTATGTTATGGAAAAACAGTCTGACGGAAACTATTTGGTATACAGCTTGCATGTTTTTTTATTCTGTTTATCATTTAACTTGATTGATATTTGAAATAATATTTTATTAGATTATTTGAAAACCATGACAAAATTAAGCTTATTATTTGCGTCTTATTACATATTTGTATTGTAAAATTTATCAAATATTAATAAAATAAGAAGGTTTTGCAAAATTGGTAATGATACATACGCTTTACATGGACTTTTATAATCATCAGGTTATAATTGAGCTTATTACTGGCTGGGTACTCGGTAAAGGTCCGTGTGGTCCATCATGCAGCAAAGCTGATATAGGCAGATCTACTGAGTCTGCAAGAGCAACAATAATATCATCAGATTCTCACTATCTTGGTACCTTTGAACTAGAATATAGGAAGACCGATAAATTAACAAGCAAAACAGAAATCAATACAAGAGTTAATTCTTTTTACAATGAAACAGTCATAGCTATTAGTGAAACAGGAAAATGGGAACAAGAAATAATGCACTTCAGCGTTATAATGGAGAGCGATAAAAAAGAAATAGACATCAGGTATGAAAAATATATTGAATTGATATATAATCTATTAAGTTGTTATAATATGATAGTTGATTAAATATACATGTATGTATTCTGCCTTGAACAAAGGCCTGCATGCGAGAAAAAAAGTGCACGTGAATGCATGTACACACATACTGAGTTATGACAATGCACAGACATTTGATGAAATAAAATAACTTATTACGAGTATTTGATAAGATAACGGAAATCCCAACTCGAAGCTGATCAATTCCGTCAACAGAAATTTTGTCTCATTAACTGGAGAGAAAATTCCGGAAATGTTAATAAAATAGCGGTCCTGGAAAAGCTTATCTCACATGGGCTTATCTCACATTCCACGTGCAACACTTCTTTATGTATTCATACACATACCCAATATTCACTCCTCTGTTAATAACAATGAAACTTTTAGAGCCAAGTGTACTTAAGTATGAGAGTTATTCTAATAAGAGTGCCAATTGAGTTGATATTTCTTGATAATGATTAAGTTCAACTAATGTTACGATTGTTTCATTCTGTTACTAAAAAAAAGAACACTTTAAAGTTTCGCTGGATTCTACGTAAACACTACTTAAATGACACTTTGCATTGTAAGCATATAATAAAGATGATTCTTGATATTTACATGGTGTGACACAAAAGTGTCTTATTAAAGGTTCCTTGATTACTGCCATATGCACACATCTGCGAATGTTTCAAAATAATAATTTTAATTCGTTTTACGCAATATTAATTCGTAATTACGAAATATTAATTCGTTTTTATGAAATATTAATTCGTTTTTAGGAAATGTAAATTCGTTTTTGCGAAATATTAATTCGTTTTTACGAAATATTAATTCGTAATTACGAAATATTAATTCGTTTTTACGAAATATTAATTCGTAATAACGAGATATTAATTCGTTAAAACGAAATATTATTTCGTAATTACGAAATATTAATTCGTAAAAAACGAAATATTATTTCGTAATAACGAAATAATATTACGTAAAAACTAATTAATTTAATTTGCTTACAATGCAAATTAATATTAATTCGTTATTACGAAATAAATTCTGTGCTTAAACGGGATCAAAATATGCACAATAGCCCCTTTCTTGTCGGCTCAATGACTTGATACCTATGACATTTACTATTTTTATATTTAGTGTTTTATGATCGCACGATGCCAGTACATAAATTTATAGGAAATATATCTTAAGTGAAAATCTGGAAGCCAGCCCTTTTAAGTTTTACTTATGTGTATTTAAAAAAGTAATGCTATAGTCATTTGTTTTTTAAAAAAAGAAACATGTCAGAAAAGATGGATTGTCTCAGAAATTAAAACATTTTGATTTTTTGCCAGCTGTTTGTAATATGTTTTCGGAAAAGGGGAAAGGTGAAAAGAGAATGACTTCTCATTATAAAACCCTTTCTACTCAAATAAAAGAACTTGAGAGCCATTAGACTTATAATCGTTATATTTGGTGGCAGTGTTGATCCAGGCTTCAAAATGACCAATTTTGATTGTGAGGTTAGAAGGTTCTATAACAAGCTCACAATGACCTTCAATTCAAACTCTTTGTCAGGCCAATTACTTAAATATATTATTTTTGCTTGCTATCATTACTGAATGAATGTATCGTTACTAGAAAACGAATTATTATTTCGTAAAAAACGAATAAATATTTCGTAATTACGAATTAATATTTCGTAATTACGAATTAATATTTCGTAAAAACGAACAAAGTCCCACAAAAAGTGTAGACAATGTCACTTTAGGGGTTCCGTAAGTTTGAACAAGATTACTGCTGCTCATTTATTTGCACCCGAGTCCAACAATTGGACGCTACTTTGAAGGAACACTTGGGGGCAGACAAATTGTTTAAAAATTGTTTGTTATCAATGAACATCAGCTAATGTGAAGACTGTGTACCTTATAGGTTACAGAAAAAGCGTTGTGACTCTTTAATGATAATACTATACTATAGACTTATCTTCGGTGTTAGCTTACACTTAATCACTCTTGTTTGATAAACGTTCATTATAAAAGATTTGTAGATACTTGAAATTCGAATTTAAACCGTATTTTTACAAACTTTCGTAGATTAACAGAAATTTAAATTTTGTGCTCTGTCTCTTTTTTTAATTTTTGATTTAGATATCGTCGCTCACAGTGCCGTTAAATTATTCCGATCTAGAGGGGATCAGACATTGTTTTCTTATTTGTTTGGCATTTTAACTTAAAACCCTATTTATGGCCTTACTGCTCTATGATCAGGAAATTAATTTTGGAAGTATCTTAGGACTGGAGTTTGCATTATTTGGTTTTGCCCGTAGTACTTGGCAATTCATCTTTTGCGTTGCAGTGTATGGCGTTGCCGTACAATGGCGTCAGTTGTGGTTTCTATTTATACGCTTGGGTTCCAAGCGATGAATGGAATCTTCAATTTGATGTCTTTTCGGTAATCTATTAGATTGTTGTTTTGCGTTTGCGTTGCGTTCGTATGATACTGTTTGCGGGTTTTTGTATGCAAAAGTAAATGCGTAATATAAAACACGTCTGGTCTCATTTCGGTCGAATTTATTTAGATCCGGGATACCCAGTTAAATATGAGCGGCCAAAACAATCCAGCCCTGAATTGTATTTAGTACAATAATGCTTTATTGTTTGTATTGGTCATGTATGGGTTATATACAAATTAAATATGAAAATAAAATTCAAAGTCGTTTATTTTATTTCAATTGTTAAAATAATTATATAATTGTATTATTAGAAAAATGTGGTTATTAAACTGTGGAAATACTTTGTGTCACAACTTTCACCTGTGCATATGAAATATAAATTCATTTGTCATTGTTATTTGACTGTTAACATCACTAAATTTTCAGTTTCGAAGGTAATTTCTGGAGACACCTTACCTTACAGAATAACGGTATTGATGCGAGGTGGCATTTCCAAACAAAGATCGTGGCACTTGGCCGGAGCGATACACACACAACAAACCATAGTCCAAAATCACTTGCTAAACCGTTCTACAGGTATGTGTTGATATTGGATTAAATCGTTTCATGAATTTTTTTCAGGTACTTTTTGAATAGGAATAAATATATTAAATTATTTGTATGAGATTACATCAATATCTGAATTTGTTTATGGAAATGTCTCCTCATCGCTCTAAAATTAGTTTAGATATATAATTAGATTACATTGTTTTATACATACATACTTAATATGATGACTTTTTATATAATTAATATTTGTTTATATTATATTCGTATTATATGGTTATATAATTTAATCATTAATTGATTATTTATCAATTTATACGTTAATCTTAATTAGATGTTTGTAACACTTATCTGACACGATCAAACCAAAACATGATCATATATTTCCTGTTTCTGTCAAACTAAACTAGTTCTTAACACATCCTACCACTCCCTTGAAATATCCTTAAACGGTAATTTTCTTTCTACCATCCGTTGGCGATCATAACAAAATGGATTTCCGAAATAATGGAATTTTAAAATCTTTATTACTTATATCAGGAGAAAGCCATTTTTAAGTGAAAACTATAATGACATATGGTTGTGCTTCGATTTCAAGTAGATCATTTTAAGGGCAAAAAAATTGAATGTTAATATGCACAATGTAAATGATTCAATTCAGAGACAAGAAAAGACACCCCCATAAATTTATTCAGATCCTTGGTAATGGTTCGGCACGACATTATTGTTTGCACTTCATTTTATTTGAGTTTTTTTTTCTAGTTTGGTGGTTCCAAGATTCTTACTTAAATGATGTTTTATTTCTTTAATTTTGCCCCCCTTTCCTCTAATCTCATACCCCCTTCCCCTGTGCCCTTTTACTAGGTGGGCCTATAATTTCTTAATCAATTATTTGTACTTGTATTCTTTGATTTTGATTTCCTTGTCAGTTACTATTATTTCTTCTTTTGTATCAATTTTAGTGATTAGCCTGTCCGTGCTCTGCCTTGCGCCCTGTCATGTTTTTGTTTGGGGTCCTACTGGGGATACCTTGCCACTGGTTCTTGTTGCTGGGTTGGGTGGGACAGCGTTCAATAAACGCCGCCTTTCCTTGTGGGCAGTAGTTTGCACTCGACAGTACCGTCAATGTACAGACTCAAACCGAGCCTGCCATATTTTTACTTTTGCGATTTTAGACTTTCTTGGGGGATACTTTTTCCTCTCTTTATTTTATTGCCCCGTCTGCATTATCTGTGCCCTGTGGAGACCGTAAAAGATTTTGTTCGTATATTAACTTAGAGACATATTTCTGATGCTTGAAAATCGTTCATATCAACATCATTGTTGTGTTTGTGGTACTTTAAGTTTTTGTCTATTTGGCTTTTTTCTAGTCGGGTGGTTCCAATATTCCTACTTGAATAATATTACCCTTCGAATATGTTGGCTGCTATTTGAATTTGTCTTTTGGCGTCTTATCTGTGATAAGCAGGCTTGATAACATTTGATTCCCTTTTTAAATTCATTTTGTTTAGATTTGTGTATTGTTTTCTTGTTTGGGGCACAAGCTTTCTTCTAATTTGAGACCATACATTGCCTCTCATAGGTGGGCATGAAAATGTCAAATTAAATTTTCCATGATAAGCTCCGTAAGAACAAATCTGCTGATGTTTTTTAAATTCAAAATTTCACCATTTTTATGTTTAAATGTTGAATTTTACTTAAACCGGTGCTAGGGAGTGTTGACGGTTATTTGAACCTGACAGATTTATCCATGAACATGCTCAACCAAACCGAGCCTACAACAATTTCAATTTTGCCGTTTTTGGCTTTATGCTTTATTGGGGGATATTAAGTACTTGAATTGACTTGTTAGCTGCTTAACAAAGGCAGACAACAACAGTAAATTTTGCATTCTTGCCCTCAGAAATGGTGGACATCTGTAACGATATTTATTCCTGTCAGTGCCTCATCATCAGGCAAAAGTCATAGCAATTTCATCTTAAAGAGCTGTTTTTTTTTTTTTTTTTTTTTTTTTTTGATTCTAAGACTTCATTCTTTGCAGCTGCTTTATAATCTCTATAATTTCAAAAGTATAGCTTTCCCCAAATTTGTAAAATCTGATGTTTCACGATTGCTAAAATTGTGAAGTTACCGCTGGAAAAATAACCATAACAAAATTTGGTGCTTGCTTAAACTTGCCATTTTCCATGTGTTAAGTGATTGGCGTCTAGCTCAAGGAAAAAGACTCCTAACATTTGATATTAACATACATTGCCCCGTGCATTTTTTTTTGTTGTTTGATTTTTCAAGACCTAACCGTTCCTGACATTTAATATCATGGGCTTTTACTTGTGAAACAAGTTTTTGAACTGGTGGTAAACATTCTGTAAAAATGTATTCCTATTTTGCATCTTCCAATGTGCAGTATTGATAATCTGGCTCAAAGTCTGAATTTTAATTTGTCGCATTATCTTCACATGGTATGTTCGAAGAAGTAAAAAAGTAGCGAAGCCCGTGGAGTAGCTCAAATGTAGATATTTTATTAAAATGTCCTTGACCAAGAAACAATTTTATTTTGTTTAATCACGCCCTGCAAACTGTCGATCCACTTATTGCTTGTGTTTATCACTTTTTTCATACCTAAATCAATAAATTGACACAAATGACAAAGGTATTAGCTTCATATTGAGTATCTGTTTACTCTGTTGGGAAAATTTTCATCTAACAACTAATTAAGATACTATCAAAAAGTATAATTGCTCATTGTAAGACCTGCCAATTCGTTAAAGATTCTGTGACATTTCATTTACGTTATAAAGAAGAAAAGAAATTGTAGTGTTTGTGTGAAATATGATCTTCAAATGAATAACAAAACAATTCCGACGGTCATTATTTAATAAGTCGCATAAATATTGTCGTTAAAAACCGACGGTATCACTTACTGTATGTTACATCCTCATATGTAAATTAATGGAGGTCAAGTGACACACGCTCACACAGATTGTAAACAAACATCGCGGAGAGGAAGAAACAGCGTTTGTCGCCAGGTCAGGTCAATCTTTAAAACAAGTAACAAACGTAAAACGCAACCTCTTACGTTATTTTTATGAAGTTTCAACCATTCAAATATCAGTACATGCATTATAAATTTTAAATAATCACAAATTACTAGATTATTGTAAAGAATGTTGTTACTTTTATTTATAAGTTCAATCTATTAAAACATAAACAATTATAGTCATATGTTTACATTTAGTAAGACTTATGTTTGATGCAAATACTATTTTTAGCCAGATTAGGACAAATCACGTACTTTTGGCGTTTTAAACGAAAATTTAAGTATCAGCACAGTCCAGCCGCAACAAAACGATAACACCATTGTTTTGTAATGTACCAAAGGTTTCAAACTGTAATAATTTATATTTGGGGCTTGTCTGTGCCCTTTTAAAAAATTAGATTTTAAGTTAATGTCTTAACATTATTTTTAACATTATTTTTTTGACATTTATTTCATTAGAAATTAATTAATGTGTGCAACAAAATCATTTCTAGTAAATAAAAGACACTTTCATTAAAATGATTACAATTACGTTTTGGTACGAGTTCCACCGGTTTCCACTGTAACAGATGTAAATAAAACGTTAGAAAGGCTGAAATTCCATTTATGCCTTAAAAAGATCATTCTTAGAATAAGCAAGTTGTTGTAAGGTAATTTTATGGAATAATTGAACGAAAATATGCATTTTAGGCTACTTTATTGCTTGAATGCTTGATCTGGGTTTTTTCGCACTCAAACGAAAACATCTGAGTCTGTTTAAACCCAGTGATTTAAAGTTTTAAATGTCTTTTTAAAAGGTAGATAAGAAAAAAACAATTTAATTTGTGTAAATAAAATTATTAAAAGTCGCAAAACATTTTAAAGATACGGTATTAATGAGTATTTAAAATCTAATATTTAAAATCAAAAATTCCACATCGTCAGCATTGATATTTATTCAGATTTTCTTGTTACAGATTTTCTTGTTAAACGATGTATTGAGATTTTGAAAGTTGCAGTAGCTAAGTGGTAGCATTGGAGCCTCTCACCCAAGAGATCTGAGTTCAAAATTTGAAAAAAAATCCTTCTTTATACTTAAAGTGACATTATGCTCATTTTTTTCACTGTTACGATCAGGTAAATAGTTGTATATTTCAAAAGACTGACTATTTTAAGGGCAATTGAACAATAATTGATAATTATAAATGTTCAGGATAAATGTAAAAACTGCCTGTAAAAATAAAATGATTGCCCCACTCGTTTTATAAATTGAAAATTACAGATAATTTCTGAAGGATATTTAAAGGTATTTATGTGGGTCACATGGATGTTAGATTGCATTACTCAGGCGATGATTGTTATTAAAATTTGAAACAAATATGACAACATGTAAACTTTCATTTTACCTGAACACACACAATTTACTCTTGGATTGGCATGACTTCACTTACATTAAATAGATAGGGCTATTTCAGTAAACAATATGTTTTAATTACTAGTATTTTTTCTTCAGATTTTTCCACATTTTAAGTCAATGCTTTTTCATAGGTATTAAGGTAAATGAAATATTTGGTAGACATTTAATTGCTTAATAGTATAGAAAGAATTTATATTTCCTATTAATTTAGTAGTATTATCATTAAAAATATTAACAAAATACATATTTCCAAAGCAGGAAAAATGTTGGCAGTCAACGGAAAAAAATATGAATGCAAACATTGATGCATAGTACAGTAATAGAGACAATGCTAAACTATTTTCTGAAAGCAGACTTTTCTATCTTAAATGTTTAATATACAGACATTATGTAGATGTTAGGGTCTACTGGAGTGATATCAACCAAATCTTTTGTAGAGTTGCTCTATGTCACATAAATTATGGATACATCTAAATAAATGTGTTTTTTCTCAGTTCTCAGTTGTCAGGGAGCTTTTCATTACATTTGTAATAAAAATTTGGTTTCCTTTATTTTAAATAACCCAAATCGTTATTCGGAATTGGCTGTATCATAATT